ATAGAGTTTTAATAAAAATACACTTTATTAGTTTCCTTGCAGCAGAAAACCTAGGTACTCATTAAACCTAATTAACAATTAATTCAGACAAATGGAAATTAACCTAGTCTGCAGGTTTGCTGTGGCGGGGTATTATATTGTAGTAACGAGTGTCATACTCGAAGCACATATTTAACGCAGACGGTTGAATAGTGTTGAAGTGTAGTGCTGTAAAGGTTGAAGATAAAGCCAAAGGATCGCACCACATGTCATTTCACAATGCCACCTCAAGCTTCTTAGAACGGCTTTCACTGAGCCCCTGCAATAGAATGTAAGGTGGAGCGGGGACACTCAATATCTTGTAGTCAACACTAGTGGGTGGGTCGTGTTTTAAAATACTTTCTAGCCAGTAAATTGTGAAGTAATATTATAGGCATAATATTCTTTTAACAATAAATGGGAAATAATTAAGAGAGAGGCTTAGAACTATTTTTTTGTATTATTTATGTCCCACCTCCACGTCTTAGGACACTAATTCTTGCCCGAACTCTTTTTGCACATTCCATCAGGCTGGTCCAAGAGGGTTAATATCCACTTAAATAAAATTTAGACTTAGACTTAGATCAAATCCATTGGTCATTTGGCACGATTTGAACCCGGAACTTCGGGAACCGAAGCCCCGCGCTCTTCCTCTAGAACAGCTTGCTCCCTGGTGTAGAACTATTAACTTTCTGAACAGTGTAAAAAATTTAAGTCGTATTTACTTGTACACTCTTTTTAGGAGATATTGATAAGCAAGAAGTTTTTGTTAGAACTCGGGTTAAATTACAAGAATTAAATAAAATTACAATAACAACTTATTCAACTTGATATATAACTTCAACAAATACATTTACCATTCTCTTAAACAAAATTAATGTCTTCGTGTTTAACATCATAACTCCAACTGGTTCTTCTCATTGATAAAAGAAATTAAATAAAAAAAACATCCATTAATAACAAAACAAAGACAAACAAATTATGACTTCTAGTTAATTAATCTTGCGTAGTACTATATAAAATCAACTTACAACAGTTTTCATTATCACGTTGATTTTGTTTTACCCTTTAACTATTGAATAGTTCTACAAAATGTTAAAATAAACAAACATTTTACCATCATTTTTAGTTATTGGTATAATGTAAATACTAAATAAACATTATTGAACATTCTTAATCGAGGTAACATTTTATATCATGTTTTTTAGGTAAACGTATATTAAACACAAGCACAAAAAATTATTACTTTCGTTGAACATAAAATTATTTTAAATAAATAAACAAAACTATGAATTGTTTTTTTTATGGGGAACGCTTTGAGTAAAGGAGAATTAATAAAGTAAAATGAAGATAGGTTGACCAAAATAAAATTTTGGACTTTCACCCTCTTTGAACGATTACTTACAGGTCATTTGGTTAAAGTGTGTCTGCTTCAGCAAGTTAACTAGTTAGTCTATATCTTTGGTCCAATATCCTACCATCCGACTATTTTCAAAGCTACATTCGTAGGTAGGTGTAAGTAGAAGTCAGGTGTAGTTAATAAAAAAAATCAACTTTCACGTCGTGTGACAGAAAACCCATTCAGATTAAGGTTAAGATTAAGTACCTGAAGTAATTTAAGAAAAACATGTTCTTGTCAAACTAAACTAAACAAGATTCAAATATTTCCATTGCATGAACAAAATAAATTCAGATAATCATTTCATTTTCGTGCTTATTATAATATAGGGTGGGAATTAAAATTGTAATTAAAAATTAATATCTTATAAATCCTTTAAAACGGTAATTACAATTTGGCAGCATAGTTATAATTCATTAAGCATATTACACGCCAAACAACTTTAAAGCACTTTTAATTATAAAATAACCTTTGAGTGTTAATTAAACGAAGATGATTAATTGTTAAACTCTGACGTACTAATTCATTATTTCATTCACTACACATTGATATAATAAATATTATATGATAATTATGTTTAAACCCCATACAAACTAATAATACCAAAGGGTTAGGACACTATTTTATATTTTTATAGCTGCAGTTGAAAACATAATGTGTTACCTACATCTCAACATCCACAGCTTACAATGTGAAGTAGTAACTTCTCTATATGTGAGGTGTGTTGTCTATCGACTCTTTTATTGTTTGTCAATCTTTTCTGATGTTATCTTTTTACTCATTACCACAAATAGTTCCGATTGATACAAAATGTTTCTAAAAAAGAGTCGACATAAATCATAACATCCTACTTTAGATTCGTCTGGTTCGACGATTGTTAGCCATTTTATTTTGATTCTGTAATATACACTTACTTACTTACTCCTGCACGTGGCCATTGGAAACCTAGGTGGTTTTTGGCCTCGCCAACCATGTGCCTCCAAGCTCTTCTATCATCTGCCAGCTCCAAGTCTGCTCCCATTCCTCCCAAGTCCTTCGTCACCTCATCAACCCATCGCATTCTTGGTCTACCTAATGGTCTCCTTCCTTCTGGTATACCTCTGAGTACCATCTTTACCATCTCTCTCCCACTTCTACGGTTAATATGGCCCATCCATCTCAACCTCCTACTCTTAACTATTCCCACAATATCTGGTTCACCATATAATTCTTTTAACTCTCTATTTTTCCTTATCCTCCATGCATTTCCTTCTTTTACTGCTCCAAAAATTCTTCTCAAAATTTGGTTTTCAAAAGTAATAAGGCGCTTCTGGGATTTTTTGGTAAAAGACCAAGTTTCTGACCCGTATAGCAATACAGGTTGCACTATAGTTTTATACATTCTTATTTTAGTGGTTTTTGATAACAGTTTGCTTTTGAATAATTTTATTAAACTCCAGTATGATCTTTCTGCTGCTGTGAGTCTGCTCTGAATTTCTATTTCTTCTTTATTGTTGTTTGTGATCATCACTCCCAAATACTTAAAAATACTAGTTTTCTGGAACCTATAGTATGTAATATACATTAAACATTTAAAATACTCTTAATGTTCTTCGGAAACATTTAGAACCCCATTAAGGGAGTAGAGAGCGAGAGCAGACATTGTCATTCTCGGCACGTATACATAATGCGACCGATGCATTCAGAGAGGGAAATTCTCCTTCTGTTATCTCTACCTTAGGTATTTCTTTATTTAGTCATCCAATTTATCTTTGTATGATGCAAGTGAGTTATTGTTTTAATATCACCACAGCCAATCAAATTTGAATTGGACCAGTACTTATTTGATACGTCATTTTGTCTGAGTTATTATGTTTTGTAATATACATAGATCACTACTATTGGAGTGTCTTTAGTTGAGTCAAGTGATATGTCATGTGGGGATATTTTGAAATTAGGTCTTGCTTAGGATTTTAAAAATGATGTTAAAAAACAATTTTTTTAATCTGGTTGTTAACAATCACTAAAACATTTTTTATTCTGAGTAACCGAGTGGTTATAGTGCTCACCTTCAAATCTGAAGGTCGCTGGTTCGAATCCAAACAAGATCGTTTCCAGACCCAGATACCATTTGTCATTGGGCTATGAATAAATGAAGCTATCTAACAAAAAGGTTGACGTTAGATAGTAACAAGACCAGGGCTTAGACTGTTCCATTTCAAAACGTAAAAAATGCCACTGGTGTAAAAACACAAAAAATAAAAATAGAAAAACTAACTACCCACTTTAATAGAGAAAATTGAAAATCTTTCAATAAAACTAATTGTTAATTAAATTCCATCCCTTCTAGATTAATGAGTATCTAATCTTTATATCAAAACAATAGCAAATTTCTAAAAAGAATATTAAGACTAGTATAACATATTATTCGAAATATATTTAAAAAGCACGTAGTTATAGATGATATAGCATCGTTTTTGATCATACCGAAAAATTAAATCACAAAAAAGTGGCAAAGCAAACAAGGTTCTCGTCACATCTACTTTTCTCTAATCATTTTTACCATGTTGTTTTAATCAATTAACAAAATTAAATATTCGTCAAACATCAATCTGTATTTAATATTACGAGGCACTAATTAAAGGTTAATTTGTACAGAATTCAACAACTTTATCCTAACACTAATAAAGAAAACGCTGTTGTAAAGATGTAATAATAATGTAACATGATAACAAATTGTTAGAGTCTTTTGTGATGATATTTTATCATTATTCATTAAAAACACTGAACTTCACAAAAACTTCTGATAGCCGATGGAATAATATTTATTGTGAAATAATTAGCAGCATTTTGATAAAAGCTAAATAAAAATACAATAGCCAAGCTGAGATTGGCAGGGGCTTATCTCAAAGCTGTTGTGTTTTAACACAACACAAATCGTGTTAACAAATAATTTGAGCTACATAACGAAATACTCTTGTGATTATGTAATTCGTTGTTGCTTTTATAAACGTTAATCCATTAACTTTTCTCAATCGAATACCATTCATGACGCTAATTAACAGCAATTACTTACTTTTAGAAGTTACTCCTTACGAAAAATTGTTTGAACAATTCATATTGTTTAATTAAGTTTGTTTTTGTTTTTAGGGTGATACAATACAAGAAATGTATTTTTTTTCTAAAACGTTTTGTTCACTCCATTTATAAATTAAGATAAGGCATATCAAGGTTCTCAAAATTAACAAGAATTTTTCAAGCCATAGCCTTTAAAATTTTAGAATATTTTAGTGTGCATTGTGGCATAAAATAATTCATACTCCAGCTAGTTTTGAAAGTATCCTTTACTTCATCAGTCATTTAGAGGTAAAATGTATTTATTCAATTACTTTTCAAATTATATTTAGCTCTTTATCTAATGAAAAACTAATGACACTTTAAAACATAACAAGTTTGCAATTTACAGGTACAGTATTTGAAGACATATTTTTTTATGAAAAATGTTTGAATATTTTTGCTGAACAGGATCTATGGTCATAAAAGTAAACTTTACATTAATTGTTCTGTATGATATAATTTACAAACTTTGTATTTGTGTTTTTAGGATGGCGCGAATGCTACATAGACAAAATTGACAAGGTAGGTGTAATTTTCGTTTACTTATGTTACTGAACAAACATTTTGAAATAAGATGCTCGAATATAAACTATTCAAGAATGTCATTTGGTTTGTGTATTTTGAAATTTTTTTATAATGACTCGTGGTAGAAATCCCCATAATATACGTTTTCTGGATAGAGGATTAAGTTGGTACTTTAGATATTGCAGTACGAGAACTAAAAAAAAGTAAAAAAAAATAATGTTAACACGTTTTATTGTATCATTACTGTGAATTAGGTACTAAACCATAACATATGTTCTTTTTTTTATAACTGCATTAGCGTTTTCACCGATCCCTTACTGTTAATTAAGTGTCTGCGTAAGCAAGTGTTTAGTCGTGTCAAGTGAAAGCTATTTATGCTAGTTAATAGGGATTGCAAGATATCCATACAAATCAAGCGTTATTTTAAAGAGCGGGAGGCCCTTGCATGTTGGAGTATATTTTCTGAAAAATAATTATGAAATAAGTACCGGTAATCATGATAAGAGAACAGAAGTATCATTAAAATCCAGTAACTCTTGCATCATGGAATGCGAGAAAGTATGTTTTTGAAAAATGTTTGACCTTATTTAATGACATACAAACAAGTAACTTATTTGTGAAAATAGAGAGGTGATCTCCACCTCTTGCATTATTAAATTGAATATATATGATTCCAAAATATATTTTTTCTGATCAAAAATATAAGTATTTGGGGAAATAGTACAGAGTAAATAAATCAGTCAGAGCTTGAGGCAGATTGGAGCATTATTGGCTTATCAGTAGCCTCGTGGGCCTCATGGATCAATGACACTGGACCAATCACAGTCAAGCTGCCAACTAACTTACCAAACTTGGTTGGTTCGTCGGGTTTTCCCTGTTTCTAAGTGTCTGTGACTTTTTTCTTGGAAATTCAAACGATATTTTGAAAAGATTATATTTTGTTTCGGTTGTACCGTTGATTATGTTAGCTATACTATTCAGAAGAGGGGTTGCTCAAACTAATAGAGTATGCTAAAATAATTATGAGGGATTTCTAGAAAATTGGCAATTTCCTTTCAATAATTTTCGAATTACTGAGGTGTTTTCAACAGAAATGGATGTATTCAAATATATACTTAGGTGACCATAAAAAAATGTTTAAGTTGTTAAAATATACTACGAATCGTATTACTCGTATTACAATTATTCTTATTACTGACTGCTCTTTGACGATTCTTACTGATGGATCTCACATGTTATAAGTGTAGATCGTAACGACTTTATTCTTTAAGTTTAAGATGAGATTGTTAATATATGAGATAATTAAAAGTGGTTCTGCGTTTTTTACTGCTCGATTATCTTTGGGGTATTTACATAACAATAATTGTAACTAAATCTAATATTTGAAAACATCAAAACATACGCAAAGCCCTTTTGTAGTGTATTTCGTGAACATTTACGTTTTTCGTGGCTTCCATAGTAATAATTCGAAAATGTAATACAGTAATTGGAAAATGTTTTAATAAAATAAAAGCTTAATTATATCAAATTCGTAAATATTTAATCTTGCAAAATATACTATACAATAGGTACTGTATTGTGAATAATAATATACATATAATTGATATACATGTTTTATCTAAATAGCCTATATCCACAAATCTGATCGTGAATAAATGTAATGGTATTTTTTTATACTACTTGTAAGTCAATATTTTTCGACCACTATTATACTGTTTACCTATTTATTTATTATTCATGCAATTAATATGCTTCAATAAATCAAGGTGATTTTCAACGTACTCCAAAATACAATCACTCTGATACTACGTACACCATAAAAATCCAACTTAGCGTATTTTTCCTTGCTATACTATTATATCGTTCAACTGCTGGATATATGTTACAAGCGAAATAGCCCATTACAAGATGGAGCGTGGCCAACTTATTTATATCAATATACTGACAAAAGAGTTATAACAGCACTTTTATAACTCCCTTATTTTATAAGGATTTACAATGGTTTGTGTCTTTGAAATATAGGAATTGCCTTTAGCAACGGTGTTCCACGGAAATAATGGTTTAATACGTCCGAACCTCCCCCGTAGTATTTTTTTCGTTATACTGCAGCAAAAACAGCCGGTTTTAATGCATGCGTTGCGGGTCCAAAGTAACATTTTTACTCTCTAGAAGTAAAAATCATTTTTAGTCTCTAGGGAGTAAAAACCAGCTGTTGTAAATTTCGATTGTGGCAATCGTATCGATCAAAACTATTTATCGATTGATTTTTAGGTAAGATTTTAGCCTATTGTTGACAATTGCTCGACATATCGATGGTATAATATACTGTAACACAATTGTAATAGACGAAATGATTGATTCACTTAATAAACAGCTGCTTATTTGCATTAGCAGATGCCCCCTGACGACATGCATTTTCAACTACTTTGAGAGTCTAAGCATAGAATAAGAGCATAGATAAAACATACTCCCTTAGTAGATTTCCCATCCTTATGGAACAGCTGAAGCCAATTTTATTGTTAGTTCTGTACGGTTTTCTGTAGAGGTCGTGTTTTGTTTACAATTTGTTTTCCGTTATTACAGCCATTTAAAACCTCGTTTAACCAAATAATACGGTCTAATCATAAACAATAACTTGTCCCTTAGTTATATAACCAAACAGTAAAGCACAAATCAAGAAATTAACCCTAAAATAATAGAAACAAAGTTTCGTCGACACTAGCGCCTTTGTGTCACGTACATGAACTAGACACGAAAAACGTGCTTCAAAATTTACAATGGGATGAGAAGTCTACTTGTGTTGGTTAGTCTATGATAAGAGGTAGTTTGATACATTTTTTATAAGGTCGGTAAAGTACAAGGAAAAGGGACACTAAAACTCAATTTTAAACCGCTCTAAATAATCCACGATAGAAGTATTAAACATATAGCAAATATATAAACTAACCACATTCGACAGGAATCGTTCATCGTTTGGATGAATTGATCGTTGATCGTTAAAGACTGAGTCTAATTAGACCAAACTGTTCCAAGCTGTAATCAGTGACTAATTTGGATGATTTGCCGTTGGAACTTTCCTGCTTAGTTTAGTGTTCATTGGTTCATTTTGTACAGATAACATTTTGTGTCTGAAGAATTTCGTTGATATTCTCAAGTATTAACAAATCCCTTTCACCAGAATCAATTCCAGAACTGGATTTGTTATACCTATCGGATGACGATTGTATATGGATTTTCAATGTTTTGTTTATTTTGGCGTTTAACTAAGTAGCATTTAACTAAGAATGTTTACATTTTGCTCCTTTTCCTCAATAAAAATAAATTATAAATTCCTCATTATAAATTTTTCCTAAACACTGGATATATTTTCGATAACCATTTTTTTTATTTGTAAGTTTTTACAAAAACTTAATTATTCAATCATTTAAGATAGGGACGCCACTATTTGCGTATTTTAACCCAAATATTATTGGGGATGAGTGTAGGATGAGTGGTGCAACCTTATAGACTAAGGCATTTTTTCTTCCTCATATCAAACACATTTGCTGATGGCATTATTTTTTTAAGAATTTGCCGTGCTTTTATTGTATGATGATGATTGTAAATGTATACAAATTCAAAATAAATATGTACTATTTGGGTTACTCTTAACTCTAAAATAACTCAAAATCAGTAGCTGAACGTACATTTAATAGTATCCTTTCTATTAACAAATTATATAGACTAGATTACATAGGTATGTACAAACACACGCACACACACGTATGTACACACAAGGTAACACCACGATGATGTTACAACTAACAAAGTTACTCACTAAGTGTAAATCCACTTACCTACCCTCTCAAGCTCTTTCATGTAACACCTATGATTCATGTTGTGTAATCCTTAGTATAATGGTTGAACAAAAATCCTAATACATATAAGAAGGTTAACGATAATTCTTTTACCACTCAACTTTAAAATATCAATCAACCTTTATAAATTCCATGTTAAAATGCACTGTCTATTTATAGGCTTACAAGTATTAAAGCTTTGTTTCCTCTGTATCCATAACGCGTAATCTGTTAGAACTTCAGTCTACAGCAAGATACACTTGTGATTTATACAGTATTTTAGTTTAAATATTCTTCTTTCACATGCTTAGATACATTCTGTATTTATAACTTCAAAGTTTGAATAATTTGCATTTTATCTTTAAACTTGGAAAAATTTCTCAGAACTGTAAAAGCAAACAAATTCCCTTTCAGCATCGCCCATTACGTTTTCTTTTCGAAATATCAAAGAAAGTAAGAGCACTTATTTAGATCACTCAATTGACCTTTCATACAAAACTATTTGGAGAGGAGTTCATTTTTACTTAAAATTCGTAACTTATGTGTAACAAAGTTAGCTCATGTTTATAAACTGTTTATAAATATTTATCTTTATATTTACTTAAATGGAGTGTTTTATTTATTATTATAACTAGTAATACATTGTCTATATTGATTTTTAATTTGGTTTCCAGGTAGCTTACACTTAGTATGTATGTAATAATTTTGATTAATTGAAATGTTGCACTGTACTTATTAGGAGACAGTAAAAAGCTCTTTCTCGAAATTGTGTGCAAATATTTCACCCCAAATAGATGTGTTAATACAATTATTGTAAATTATTAAAACCAAAATATGACAGTAAGGCTGAGAAATAAACGATTAAGGAACTATTGATAGATTAAAGTTATTAAAAAAGAATACTACTGTAATTTTTACTGTAAAGCTCTAGTGCTATTAGTGAAACAGAAAAGATATGTAAACCATTCTACTCTACTTTTCTACAAACAAAAATCCTACAGGTTTTGACCTTTACTCACTTTATTCACTTCGCCTGAGACTGAATCGCAAAAACAAATGTCAAGTGACTTTAGATGTTTATCTTCATAAAGTATTACCACTCCCTTTTCATCTCAAAAATACATAGAATTCTTACTCCAAGCTTTCAAAACAGAATTATAT